TGCACACCTGCGGGAGAACAAGGGTGTCTGAGCTGGTATTCGGGCAGGAAGTCGTGCACACCTGCGGAAGAACAAGTGTGTCTGAGTGCCAACTCCGCTGGTACACTTGACGCTGTCCTTGACGGTTTTGTTTGCTTGTCAGTGACCCATTTCAGAGCGCTCCCGCAGAAGGTAACCACAGGTAGCTGCAGCACGGTATTTGGGAAGTGTGTTAAATTACCATACTTACATAATGCACACACGTTCTTCCTGCCTGCTTAGGGTGTTTATAGAGATCTTGTTCTCAACACTAACGAGGTTCAGGGCTGCTGAAGGCGGCTTTGTCTCCACCTGCTGGCTATGTCTGGAATTACAGGCCGCTTTATCCCAGCAGGGGGTCCAGCTCACCTGCTGGCTTCCATTCCAGCCGAGATCTTTATGCAACTTGAACTAACAAGTTGCTTGACCAGACCCTTGAACAGCCGGGCGGCCCGTTGTGCGGCGGTTATCCGCGGGCGCCACACTCACCGGTGAAGTTGTACTCCACGTGCGGGGTGTGCTTCACGGTGAGCACGCGCAGGTCGTTGAACTCCCTGTTGCGCAGGAGCACAGACGCCAAGGACTGGACGCCACCGTTGGCCCCCTGCACAACCAGCAGGTGCAGGAGCAGCCTCCTGCAGTGCTCGTACACCTCCGGGTGCTGGTGGTCGAACCCTAAGGAGCAGAAGAGGAGAAACTGTACCAACGCGTCTGCCCTGGCAAGCGGACCGCTCTCAGTGTGGTAACGCTCTGCTGGCAAAGGGACACAGACACTTGTCTAGGGGAGCGCTCGTAGAAAAGGCATTTCAGAGCAAACGTTAAGGGTTAAGTGTCTCTCTCTTCCAAACATGCAGCTTATGGTAACATGAGAGACACAAGAGACTGACTGGGATTATAATACCCCTCTGAGAAAGACTGTACGCAGAGCGCAACCTGAAAATGCACTTTTGTGTGTCCCTGTTGGCTCTCTTCAAGCCTTCGCCAAGCTGTTCGCTGCAGGCCGGGGGCCGGGGGCCGCGTCGGGGTGGGCTGCTCACCGATGAAGATGGCGTGCAGGAGCAGGTGCAGGTAGCTGCTCCACTCCACCTTCACGCCGTGGTCCACGATCAGGTCGGTCAGCAGGATGACGGCAATGTTGCACCTGGAACACAGCGCGCGGACAAGGTGACGCCCAGCCCAGGAGCGCCGGGGACTGTGGAGGAGCAGCGGGCGCTGGCTGCAGCCCTGCTCACCTGTGCAGGGGGACCCCCAGGTTGTTGGTCTCCGGCAGGTAGTCCACCAGGGGCGACCAGCAGCCGCCCGTGGGCGGGAAGGGAAGGGGCTCGGGGCGGTTGTGCTCCATCACCTTCAGCCGCCAGTTGGCGTACAGGGGCATGGAGTCGCCTGGAAAACACCGATTCCCACAGCGTCAGCGACCACGGCGCGCCCTGCAGAGCTCGCCTCGCATCCCGGCCCTCGTCTCTCAGTTCGCCCTCCACACTGCGCCGCACGACCTTCCCCGCCGCGTCAGCTGCATCTCCAGTGAACCGCACCCAGGCGCCCCCGAAAGCGAACATGAGCATGCGAACGGTTACTAAGGAGAGGAGGCTCTTCGGCTCATCTATCCTGCTTTTTATCCGGCCTGTTGATATCCTATTGCTCCTGGTATCTCTGTCGGCTGATTCCCGAGGGAGGCCAGGCTGTCTGCTTCAACACCAATGCTGGGTAGCTTGTTCAAAATCCCCACCGCCCCTTTTACATAAAAAGAGGAGCTTCCTGTTCTCAGTTTTGAAAGCACTTCCCCTAACTTCCATGGGTGTCTTCTAGTCAGCACTGAAGCAAAGACCACCTCAGCAAAACTCTACCTTTTTATCCAGCGCAAAGCAGACACCGAGGCTGACAGCTGTCCTCGGAAGAAGAGAAGAATAGGTCTCCCCTACACACTGAAAGTGACATCACAAGGCAGCTGCCATTTTCATTATTACTGCTCTTAGTCTTTTTCAAGAGAGCCAGGCTACCGGGGTGAGCCAAGTCCCCGTTCAGACAAGGATTACCGGGAGACAGCCTTAAAACTGTAAAACCAAGTTTGAACACTTTACATTGACATAATTAGTTTACAACTGAATACCATTAGGCTACAGAAAACGCCCCTTCCTAGCCCTATGGGCACCAGGGATTCGCAGAGAAGCGACCCCTCAGCCCGGCGGCTGTGTCTGCTCTCGGCAGCGGACAGTGCGACCCGCGCTCTGCTTACTCTTCTCCTCCTCGTAGGAGCCCCCCGAGCTGCTGCTGTAGCGGGACTCCAGGCGGTGATGCTGCCTGCTCAGGTTGCCGTTCAGCCCGCTGTAGACGTCCAGGTGGGCGTAGCTGCGACACACCAAGCAGGAGAGGGGAGGTCAGACTTGCGCACGCGCGCTCTTGTCTGTGGAACGCTGCTCAAAGAGAGCCTACAACCGAGCATGTCAGTGACAGAGACACACCGGAGGACACCCAAACCTGTACAGATGGCTTCAAGCCTGCGTGTCAGGAAACTCACATGCCCTAGTCAAAGACTGCAAACCCTTTCCATCTACCAGGAAATCAGTCAGTGCAATCTTATTTCTCAAAAAACACACCTTTTTAGATCTGCAAATAACTGTTTTTCTGTTCCTCTGAACCTGCACATGCTGTACACTAAGTTCGTGCAATTATTTGTTCATAGTAGCTCAATTCCTGAGTCGAAGAAGCTGTATATGAAGATTATTCCGACTGTAGTAAGAGTAACAATACTGTACTCGTTACTGTGAGTCATTTAATGCAGGAGCTGAAGTACAGATGGCACTGCCTCTGTGATCAGCCGTACCCCTCTTCCATGTTGCTGTCCTTCATCATCTTGGTGTCGTGATGCCCGTCAGTGCCAGCCACCATCGTGTTGCTGCTAGACGTTGTTCCTGCAGGGAGACGGGCGCAAGGGGCGTTTTAAAAGAAAAACGAATCACTAGCTGCAGATGTAGAGTAACAGGAAAAAAATCCAAGCACACTCTTCTATAAAGCGCTTTGAGAAGCCACCCTTAAAAGGTGGCTATTTAAAAAAAAGTTCATTTTTATTATTCGATAACCAAACAGCACTACACTGATTAAAGCCTCGCCCTGGTCTCAAAGGAGCTCCTAGTTGAAATATCTCCACGGCCGGTCTGGAGGACAGGTGCCGAAGCCTTGAGCAGGGTGGGTGGGTCTAAAAGGGTTCGCACGAGATTATCATGAACCACAACAGTTCAAGTAGGCCACTGCGTCAAAGGAACAAGTACAGGTTTATTCCTGCTGAGAAGAAAAGACCCAGAGACGTCTCCACAGCCGAAACGTCGGGCTTCTTTTCGTCTCTTTTTCAGCAGGAATAAACCTTTACTTGTCCTCGTGATCCTCCATCTTCAGGGAGGAAGCAGGAGCCCGCGTTGTGAAGGCCCTTCTACAGTGCGGTGCCCGTGAGCCGGGCAGTCGAATGGCCCGCAGGGGTCACCTCCAGGACCGGGCGGCTTGACGGCCGTACCTGAGGTCACGGAGGGGATCCTGTAGCTGGAGGTGATGCGGTAATAGGGGGGGTTGTCCATGTGGGTGACCGCGGAGCACACGGGGTCGGTGAGCTCCAGCTCACACACCAGCTCCTCCAGCAGCTGCATGGTCTTGTCTCTGCCCAGGTACACCACCACCTTCTTCACCTGCAACACCCGCAGACACGCCATGAGCCCCCCGGCCCAGGCCGCAGGACAGCGGCTGCACTCCTGCCGCGCTAGAGACACTCCTTCCTAAAGCACAGCGGGCCCTCGCCCTCGCTTTCCTTTACACCACATGCACAGCACCAACTCCCACCCTCTCCGTCTCACAAGCAGACTCTCACTCTCTACTTTTTTAGAATAAAGCGCACATAGTACAGGAAAGCACCAATTGCTTATGCGTCGGCTAATAATGAACCAGGAACGTTATTAATTTCATACTGACTTAAGTTGAGGTTTGGGTGTTGAGGTGTCATTACTAAGTTCTGGAACCGTTCTGAGATTACAACACTGGAAGGAATGGGAATTTAATTTCAGTTACCTGGGTTTCACTTTATTAGCAGTATTTGAGGAATGAATTAAGCTTGTATAATGAGGGATTACTGTATTGACTACAGAGTATTGTTACGAAAGCACAAGCTGCTTCTGCGGATTGAGGATGCTGCTTTCTCAGGCAGTCTCTCAATCCTGACCGTCTACGAAGATGACGGCACGTGCATCTCTCAAGAGCGCCAGACAAGCAGCCCGCAAAAAGCCAGGTGTTACAGCCAGCACCTCTGCTCTCAGGCTGGCCAACCCCAGCAAGCCCCTAGCATGTGTGACGCAAAACCCCCTGCTTCAAGAGCACGATTGAGGGCTCGAATCTGGAGCAATGCAACATGGTTTCTACCTTTCAGGAGCAGAGACAGCACAAGAAGGCACAGAACCGCCAGCCTACAGGGTACAGCTGTGGATGGCGCACAGCAGACACACCGTTTCTTCGAGACTCTTTGTGACTCTTTCCCTTTGCTTTATGATTAATAATAACTACAACAACACGCTTCACATTGCAACAGTGCTCTCAAAGGAGCACAGAGATGGCGCTGTTACTTACGTATGGCAGGAGGCTGGGCTCGCTGTTCACCCCACACATACTGATCAGGAAGTGCAGGATGATTTTCAGATTCTTCGGCCAGCTGTCCGCCAGTGTCGTCCACACATTCTCAATCTCTGACCAAGCAAACTCGTCCCCGTACTGCGGAAACAAGACAGTCGCGCGTGATGCCGGTCACAACTAGAGACGACACACTTCCGCAGGGCGCCGACGGGAATTACGTCTGCGCAGGCCTCGGCCTCTTGTGGAGGCCAGAGCTCAAAATAATTTATTTAACGACGGAACCAAGGACCCCTGAGCTTGATGTCTTTTCTTTATCTTTAACCACTGGTCCTTCAGTTCAAAACAGTTACCCCAAGCTGGCCTCTGAAACACAGATGAAAAACCGTCCCCACATCTTCCCAGAGACAAAGGACAGGGAGAGGAGCAGGGGACAGGGAGAGGAACGGGAGCAGGGAGTGGAGCGGTGAGAAGGAGAGGGAGAGGGAGAGGGAGAGGGGCAAGAACAGGAGCAGAGAGAGGGAGAGGAAGAGAGAGAGGAGCAGGGGCAGGGACAGGAGCAGGGGACAAAGGGAAGAATGGGAGCAGGGAGTGGAGCAGGGACAGGGAGAGGGGACAGGGACAGGAGCAGGGGACAGGGAGAGGAACGGGAGCAGGGAGTGGAGCAGTGAGAAGGAGAGGGAGAGGGAGAGGGGCAAGAACAGGAGCAGAGAGAGGGAGAGGGGCAAGCACAGGAGCAGAGAGAGGGAGAGGAAGAGAGAGAGGGGCAGGGGACAAGGGGAGGAATGGGAGCAGGGAGTGGAGCGGGGACAGGGAGAGGGAACAGGGACAGGGACAGGAGCAGAGAGAGGGGCAGGGGCAGGCGGCTCACCTTGGCCGTCATGAACATGAGGTTGTTGAGCACCATGGTGGTGGCGTGCGGGGAGCCCCAGCCCTCGCCCCGCAGCCAGCGCCGGCTGGTCACCATCATCATCTCCCGGTCCTTCAGGTCCTCCTCCGCCTCCCCCTCCGGCGGGGGCTCCTCCTGCCGCCGGGCTGACGGCTTGAAGTCCACCAGCTCCATGTTGTTCATCCAGGGCAGCAGGTAGTGCAGCATCACCTGCCGCCCACCGGGGTGTGCTGTCTGGATCCTCTGGCTGACCTCTGCGGGAACCCGCACACGGCAGAGAGGTCACGCCCGTGCGGGGACAGAGACACGCCCCCGAGCCCCCCCGGGGCCTTACTTCCTCACGCGCGCTCTCAAGGATCAGGAACACAGGCAGCCGGATTCCTGGCCGCAAACATGGACACGAGCAGCACCTCACACCCACGCCACTGCCAGTGTGCACCCGTACCACCTGCACGAGGTGTCGGAGCACCCAGGGGACAACACACACTCATTCCAAGTGCCGTTCCTCTTGTCATTCACGGCATCGCTGCGCCAGCACATATACGCATGCAGCTCACACTCAAATCTGATCGTATGTGGCAGCGTTATTTATATTTGATTGGATATGTCTGTAAAATGCACTGAATGTCCTGTGTAGTCCGTATACACACTGTTATTACTGTTGTTTGAGGCTGAAGGAAACCTACGTGGACAGTACAGCACATTCCGACGTTTGACATTTGACAGTCCTTCCAAGCATGACGCTCAGAAAGACGAGAACATGAGAATTTCTCATCCAGCTTTCGCAGCGAGATAGGCTGGACGAGGGTGGGACCACAATCAGAAATGAGTAACCAGCGTTGATGAAGAGCGCAGCCGGGACAGGCTGCTCATCCTGGATGCACTGCTCTCTTATTCACTCACCAGGTCTTTCAAAATCAAAACTTGGTCCAATAAGCCAGGGGCTCCCAGTGCCGGTCAGGGTTGACACCGCAGCTGAGCTCTCTATCTGAACGAACCCGTCCCTCAACCCGCCAACAAGCTGCTCGGCTGCAACCTTTGCAAGACTTCGTTTTCAACACAGATGATCGGGGGTTGTAAGTTAATTAAGAATCGCTACAGTTTAAGAGGCGACTTTCCCACGTGTCCAGGAGATTCCAGCGGTTAGCGGGTCTGTTAGGGGTTCGGTTTTTAACTGCGTGCTCCGATGCTGGCGGGGCTCTACCTGAGAAGATGGGCATGGTGAGCTCGGGGTAGGTCCTGGCCAGCTCCTCGGACAGCTGGTAGTAGGAGACGGAATAGAGGTGTGGCAGAGGGGAGGGAGGACTCAGGATCCCTTCGTGCCTCTGGATCTCCAGCTTGTGCGCGTAGCGGAACAGCTTGGGCTCCAGGATCTGGGACGGGCAGGACACACAGGGTGCTCGTTACACACGCTGGGGCCGAGCGCTCGGAGCAGGTATCAGCAAGTCTCCATGAAGAGGCACAGCCATTCTGAACAGCTAGAAATGGCCTTTATCCAAACATTCACATTAAACCTTCGAGACGGCACACCGCGACACTGCGATTAGAGAGACCGCGCATTGCGTTTTCAGCAGACCGCAGGAAACCCTCATGGGTTTCATCTGTGCACGAAGGTAAATCGAAGACACACAGCTTTGGGTAACGACAGACACACCTGCAGCAGCTGCATGGCAACTTCGTAGACGTCCCTGGAAGAGTCGGCTGCTTTAAAGAGGATCAGGTTGAGGAGGACCACCGTGTCGAACTGGTAGTCCCTGCGGGGGGACAAGTTCAAGCTGTGAGCCCCAGTGAAAAGGAACATTAAAGCACAATTGGACATGCACAGGTTATCAGACGCTGAATTTTACAACCCTTCGGCCTGCTGGTGAGACACGCCTGGCGCTGGAGGAGGACGGTACCTGTTGTGGAAGACGTTCGCGATGGCTTTGAAGCAGCCGGCTGCCACCCGCCGCGAGCCGGTGTAGCAGCGGTCCACCGCCCAGAACATGAGGTTGCTCTGGTCCGGGTTCAGCTCCAGCAGCAGCGTGACGGCCTCGCAGCCCAGCTGGTGCACCTGGACAGGGAGAGCAGGCCGGCTCAGAAGTGGAACAGGCCAGGGGCGTCGGACCGCCGCCCTCGGGTCAACGGGACAGCAGAGGACACTCGGCCCATCCGGACCGCTTGGCTTCAGTAGCCGACTGATCCAGAGATCTTGTGTGAACGAGGCAGCGCTCTGTTCCACGCCTCTACAACTCTTAGGGTAAAGAAGTGCCTCCGGTCCTTGGACTTCAATGCACTCCCACTGCTCTCTGGCTCCAGTTTCTCAAAATGAGGTTTCTGCCTACTTGTATCAGCAGCCCTTGCAGTCTGCACTGGACTAAAGAAGTTGGGCTCTTTGAGCCCGTCACCTCAGCACATTCCTTCCAACCCGGCTGCTCCTCTCTGGACCGATTCCAGGGCAACAATACCCTTGGTACTGCAGTGACCAGAACTGACCGCTATTTTAAATGAGGTCTCATTAGGGCACTGTACACATTTTAACACAACATCCATTGATTTCAATTCTCCACTTTTAACTACATATGCTAACACTGTTTGCTTTGAAGATGAAAATAATGTGCCAACAAATACCTAAGTCTTTTCCTTTAGTAAGGAAATCCAGGTGGGGCTGCACACTGGTGGTGGTGGAGGGGATCTCCATTACCTGTAAAGCGCTTTGAATGGAGTGTCCAGAAAAGCGCTATATTAGTGTCGGGAATTATTATTATAATTATAATAGCTTCTTAAAAGTTCAGTGATTTCCTGTACTTTTGTGGTTCCTGGTTTTGCTGCCTACATATAACACTCTGGTCTTTTCTAAATTAAAATGTTTTGAATTTGCTTAGAAAACACTAAATAAGTAAAAAATACAGCAGACATGACATTAAGACAAGAGCAGCGTACACACAAGCAGTAACAGTTTCTCTTCAGGTGCTTCAGGACAATGAGATGTTAGAAGGGCAAAATATCCTTGTGTTGGATTACAACAATTAAACACCTCGCTCTTCAGCATCAAAATGTCTTAACATATAACGTATATGTGGTGGTATTTTAGCATAGAATTAAAAGCAATACATTTTACCAGATTAGTCAATATGATTTCTTCACATACTAGTTCCAAAAAGATCCTGTCTATGCTGAGAAAAACCAATAAGCAGTGATACTCTGAGTGAACTGTAGGAGTTCACAACGGGTCAACCAGTTACATATCATCCCAACATACTGCAGGCCGATTTCAGATTCCTTTAAAAAAGCTTTCAAGACCTTACAGAACACTACTGACTGACTGCCAGTAGATGGCACCGTTGTAAAGCAAATGTAAGAAACTGCTTGCCGAGACTTCATGGAACATTTCAACATTGACTTTGAAACACAGTTCCTTTTCCTCGGAAACCTAAGGCAGTACTCCATTCTGGAGCTATAATAAACCCCAATTCATCATGCCAGCACGAGCTCATTATGTGTGGAATAATCTACCACAGCACAGCTGGAAAGCAGAGTGACTTGGATTGATCAAAGGAATTCAAGGGTCCGAAAGATACTGGAAACCCAGCAGACGGGGTTTTGCTGAACAACATCCTTGAATCCACCCCATTACTGCTCTTTTATAACCACCTACAAGGAACACTGATTTAGTAAACATCCTTGGACCGATCGTCCATAGTTTGGTAATGGAGAAAGCTTTCATTGTGTCTGGTGCTTGTTAAACCCCTGCTACAGTAAGAGAAGACAGAGAAGAGCTCTCTTACCTTTCTGTCTTGGGAATCCAATATATTATCGAGCCACTTGTACAGATACCCATCTGACGACAAGCCGACATTATCAGCCACAGGCCCGCAGCACAGTACAGCAGACATAGCCTGAACAAGGGGAAAGGGATTGAATTGAGTTAGAGGTGAAGTTTCAGTGATGGCCTGACAGGACATCCTCTTCTAAGAGGAATACATGATGAAGGCCCAGATACAACAGGAATTTTAAACTGCGGTCTTTGTCCTTACAGGAAATCAACTGTGAAAAAAGCCATAACATTTATCAGGATTTTTGTACAAAACGCATTCAATCATGTGAAAGCATTTAAAATACCCTGAAAATGAGGTCCAATATTGAAACGAAGTGATGAAATAAACTGGACCGACTGAGTGTCCAGCAGATCATCTCAATAGTCAGGGTGACAGCGCAGTACGGAGAGCTGATCGATCCGCAGGCCTCTGACTGCTGCTTGAAGGCACGTCAGGGCATCGACTTCTGCAACAGGGATGGCCTGCCTGGTCCAGACTTCCTCCACCCTCAACTCTGAAACCATGAGCCTGCTATCGCAACTCCTGCCACTGAACGGTCAGCCTCAAACTGTCAGATCTGGATACCCCGGAGACTGGGGTGCCCTCTCCAGATCTCAGAGCCTGGAGATTGGGGTGCCCTCTCCAGATCTCAGAGCCTGGAGATTGGGGTGCCCTCTCCAGATCTCAGACCTACCTTCAGCGCGCAGTACTGGTGCCGGTTGATCTGCATGTTCCTGTCGCTGTAGCGGTCCAGGGGCGTGAACATGATGCTGAAGGGCCCGGCCCAGTGACTGAACAGCATGAAGAGGCTGTGGCGCAGGCTCTGCTGGGGGAAGATGGTCCTTCTCTGGTGCACTGCAACACACACATAACACACACCAGCTCCCTCAGTGCACTATAGCGCCACATTCAGAACACAGGAACACGGAAGTTCAAAGGCAGTTCATAATGAAAAGGACGCTTGGGATATCCTAACAGAAGACCACTGACGGTCACTACATGCCTTTGCTGCAGGAAGAACTGGAGACTGTATTGACCACTTTCTTGTTATTCCAGTTTTACTTTTGATTGCCAGATCGACTTATTTATACCTCGTCAAAAGAAATGTGTAGGAGGCTTTAAATTATATGCCACAAGCTTGTAGAAAAAAATAATGACTGAGAATAAATGTATTATCAGTTAGATTGTAATGCAGAACACATGAAGGAAGGGGAGTCAGGCCAGCAGCGGGGTTAATTCATTAATTAGCAATGTTTTACATCTTAGCTCACTAATTACAAAGCACTGTCCATCATTAGCTGGCACATACTGTATACCCATATAATGTTTTTTATGTTTGTATACTTGCATTTAATGCTCTAAGGTCTGACAGTTATTGGCATCCTAAAATATGTTCCAAGCCCTGTTAAGACCAATGAACATAAATGCAATGATTCTCTAGAGGCCATCATTTGCTCTCGAGGTGAAAAGCTCGTGAAGGTGAGCTACAGTTGCACGTGTCTCTTGCCCGGTGGAGCTGCGTTATTTTCGTGATTCAGAAATCTCATCACGCAGCAGCCCTGGCAGCTCACTGAGGCCGGAGCAAAGAGAGCAGGGCACCCAGGCCTGGGTCACTCTGACAGGGGAATGATGGCTGTACACCTGTGGAGGCCAGCTGGGAGCTCAGAGCCTCACAGAGGCTGCAATCTCAATCACGGTGCACAACTAATGAAAAGGTCCTTTGTTTCCACAACAGCATGATGTAGGGAGAAACTTTCAAAAGGTACAGCAGGTCCTGAGGCAAACCTACAGTTACTGCGCGTGCTTTCTCTCGGAGAGACAGGCTACTTTAATCCGTAACTTATATTCCTACAGAGACGACCTAACAGCTTGCACAGCTGCTTGTCTCAAAACAAAAACGATCACTAGGAAACTAACTACATCATTGTGCAAACTATGTTAACAGCATAACAGCAGTTCAATACAGAACAGCAGGTTAAAAAGGACAAGTTCGGCCAAGCACAGGACAAGGGTGGCCGGCCCTGCTGGACTGTGGCTCTCCTCACTCTCTACACCAGGCCCAGCTACCTCTGGGATAGAGCCGCATGCATTAATCACAGCTTTCTGACTTTTTAATCCATAATCATCTCCTCCTCCCACACTATGACAGTGCATTTCTAAATCCAGATGGTAACATTTCAGAATGAGAGACATCCACAGGTATGGTATAATTAAGCTACTACTGACACAGCTTGCTGAGTGCTTGTAAATAATAACTATACTGTCCATCTTATTGGAGAACCCTGAAAGGTATTTATTCATTTTATATAATTGAAAGCTAATAAGTACCTTGTTAGCTTTTTCAAAGGACCTGCACAACACCCATTAAGTGAAAGCCTATCATTCATTCATAACCACATGGCTGACAGGGGTCTCCCGTTCTGTCCTGTCATTCTGTCAGGCTCTACAGAAGCCCCCTGTGCACGGCCACAGGCGAGTCAGGCGTTTGCCTCACCTGGGACATTCTGAATAATGTTCGCCACCAAGGCACTGAAGTGGCATCGGATGTCCTTCAGGGTGTCGGAGTCCTTGTCGTTCTCGGCCTCCAGCAGCTGCCGGGTGAGATCGACGTACTCCAGCAGGGTGTTGTTGAGGGAGTGCGTTTCGCCGTCGAGGCCCCCGCTAGCCCTGGGCAGGGAGAGCGGCCGAGGAGGAGGACGGTTAAGGCGCTGCGGGGGTCCGCCCCAGAGACCCGCCATAACTGCAACCCCCTATCTTCCCCCAGGCTGCGACATTTAAAGATGCTCCCCAACTGGGTAAAGCACTGTTAAAAAAGTGAGCTCCACCGTTCCTGGTGTGCTTCCCAGTGTCTTGATGGGAGAACGACTTCACCCCCCTGCCCACCCCCAGGACTGACCAAGCTTGCATTCAGCCCTGAACGGCCCCGCATGGGCAAGGAGCCACAGCTGCAGCTAAACACGCCGCTTCAAAGCGAATTCTGGACGCTAGGTGTTTTTTTTACCCCTTTCCGCAGAATATATTTTAACCACGGCACTTTCTTTTGAATTAAAAAGACACCGGGGAATGGGCTCCACCTTAGCGATCATGCTCAGGAGAGCCGAAGTGCCAAGAACACGGCCCTGCCGAGCCAGGACAGTCCTGCATAACCCGTAACAATCCGACGCATAAAGAGAGATGGACCGAGGACGGTCCTGCCAGCCGAGCACTTACGTCTGACTGATGACCCCAGCATCTGCCAGCAATTCAAAGATCCTCACAAGCTGAACGCGCAGAATATCTCGACGCCTGCGTCTCTTCATATTCTGCACAAAAAGACAGACTCAGACTTTCACATCCCAGACAGGTAAGAGGCCTTTAAATGTGCAGTTTGAAGGAGAGAAATTTGAAAGTCAAGCAGGAACTACATTGTATCTTTTTATGTACATTATCCCATACAGTATATACCATGAGACAAACAAAAATACACTGGAAATGGATTTTATTTTCTAATAAGACTATCAATTGAACTAAAAGGTTAAAAAAACTTCACCCATACAGAATGCTGTACATGTACCGGACTCATCAACCTGTATTTTAATTTTAATGGGTTTATTTTTACAAGACAAGCGATGTGATCAGGAATTGTACCTACTTCTGGTCTCCTTTCAAGTGCTTCCTTGATAATAGGATTCAACTCTTCTAAGAGTTCTCTGTGGAAAAAGGGTAGGAGAACATCAGTGAGCTCCTGGGCTTCTTAAAAAACACAACAGAAGCGCATCAGTTTGACCACAAGCTGCTCCATGTGTTACTGGTGCTGGAGATGAAATATCACCCAGACTGAAAACACCAGGACTGCTAAGCTCCGCTTGCATGAGTTCCGTGGGCCACAAGCCTCCAGAACAGCCGCCTGGAGATTCAGGCACACTCTCCAGCTCCAGGAGCCTGAGCTATAAGCCGTGACAAGGAGGTTACAAAAGGAAGAGGGGAGAGATCTGATAGAGCACTATTCAGGAGCGCTCGTGTGCGTTTCGCAGACACTGGAACAAGCCTGCGCAGCGCTGTGAGACAGAGAGCCAGTGAACGGTGTCCCAACCCTGGGAATCCAGTAGTCGAAAGCAGCACGTTATCCAGGCCCGGAGCGGAGGAGATCAGCCCGAGTGGCTCCCTCCTGTTCCATCCTCTGACCATGCCAAAGCCATGGCCTGTGTCTGACGACCTTCGACCTCTCCTCCCTGAGGGAACGCCGGAGTCGGGGCTAGGAGACCTACCGGAAGGCCACGGGGTTGGTCCGGCCAAGCCCCAGGACGAGGGATTCGGTGATGTCCATGCTCTCGGAGCGCATCATCGGGACTACGTGCTTAAACAGGGATGAGGGGGAGGGAATGCCGATGATCTGAAACGGGAAGACGAGGCAGGCGAGAGACTTCTTTACTGAGTTATTCACAACGTTTTCACAAATATGTCCATATTCCAGTAGGCTTCATAACACATAGGCAAAAGACATTTAAGACAAGACAAAGGCTGCAAACCACAGCTGCTCTTCTAAAGACCTCAACATGAAGGGAGCATCGAGTGCAGGACAGCTTGTGTCCAGGGTG